GCCGGCGGCGGCCGGGAGCTGGGCGGCGGGCACGGGCACGCCCGGAGCCCGCCAGGCCTGGTCGGCGGTCCGGGTGGCAGAGCGCAGCCCGCCCTGCCCGCGGCCCCCGGACAAGAGACGGACGGGCTCCGCTTCCAAACCTGGTATTCCAAGGCGCTTTCGAAGAAAGACCGACGCGCCTTGCACCTTTGTGTGGGGAGGGAGGGGGCACTGGAGGTAAACAACGACCCCGGCTAATTCTGCAAGGGGAGGGTATTCTGCCATGGGACCGCCAAACTGCTTTAAAAATAATTTAGAAAAAAAAATAAATCCACCAAACTCTTACTGGCTTCAGTGACATAACAGGATTCTCCAAACGCAAACAGGGAAGGCCATCATGTGTCCTGGAATAACACTGATGATTTTTTTTTTTTAACTACTAGTTCTACAGTTACACAAGCCCACATAAATTTTACCCCTTCATTCAGTGACCAGTTTTCTAAAAGAGATGCCATGAAATAAAATGCTTTCTGACTGTTTCCTCAGTGATCGCATATAAAAGAAATAAAATAAAAGCAGTAGGGAAGAGCAAGTGTCTGAGGTCGGTGAGACACACTTCGTAACAGCTCAAAATCACTGCTTGATTCAGGGCCTGTCTCTAAGAAACTGCCTTATCAGAGAAATGCAACAAGTAATGGGTTTGCTGAGGTACATTTCTCTCTGTCAAGCTCACAGACCAGGGTGAGGCACTAGTCATGTTCAAGACAGCAGAATAACTGGCACTTTGTATCAAGAAGGTCTGCTTGGGCTTTAAGGACTAAGACCAAGGGAAAAATTACTGAAAAAAATGTTTTTAAACATCTGCATGAAAAAGATTATTCACATATGGCCTTCTAGAGCATGATTTTGGCACTACATTTCACCATTTTTTGTCAATTGCTAAACCTGGAGGAAAGGATAAATAATTCACGCATAGAAATAAATAAATGACTTCATGTAAATCTAGCAGCCTAAAATGTTACGAGCAGTAGTAATTCATTTTTTAAAATGCTGACACATACTGTGAACTCATAATGAAAAATGTGTCCTTCAGAAAAATCCCCGATCAAGATCCAAGAATAAACAAGAGTATGACGTGTCATGGACTCCCTTGCAAATTCAATAAACCTTTAAAGAGGAGCTACTCACTTCACAAAGCATGCAAGGAAAAGAAACACAAAAAACAACCCTCCCCAAACAACAGCGGTTGTACTTCCTCCCTCCTAAGCAGGCACGCAGTACTTTTCCTACTCCAAGTGGAGATATAAGACTAATCATGACAGCACTAGGATTTAATGATCTAATCATGACAGTATTAGCATTTCACAAGCGATGTATTATGTATGTTTTTGTCAATAAACTGACTCAGCATTTAAAACTCTCAACCAGATGAAGCCACAGCTCTCCCCAAAGTTAACAATGAAGACAGCTCACATCTGAAACCCACTGGCAAACACGCATGCATGCATCCCCCGAAGTCTTACCTCATCCTTTCGCAAGTGAAAAAAACCCACCCTATCGAGCTGTCAGGACTCCAGTGGTTTTCCATGAGGTTCAAATCAGAATCAGACTCCCTCGCTGACCCCACAAACACTGATGTGCAAGAGCAACACACACCCAGTCCTGACCCCACTGAACAAAATCAAACTTGGAAGGCAGACAGAAAAAAATGTTTCATGTCAGAAGTTGCTGGAATGCAAACGGATTATGCCATTTACAACTATTTCACCCTGCAGACGAGTAGCAAAGGAGTGACCTGTCCGTACATTCACAGGACTGTAGCTTTCACAGAACATGGGGAAAAAAAGGAACAGATCGGCTCTTTCTTTCAGAGCTACCTTAGAAATACTCAGGGTTCGAAAGTTCCTATCGCTCCTTACGGTAGGTGCTATTCAGTGCAAATAAAAGACCGGGGGAACTTTGGAGAACAAAAGGAGGATGTCCTATATTCAGACTCCCACTAGCAGGGAGCTGCACGGGTCACATTTTACAAGGAAGAACCAGGAATCTTTCAACGACTTCACTCTCCCCCCACTTCTTACACAGAGATGGCAGCAATCCTCCTATCCTGATTCACTGACCTGAGCTATAGCGTAAGGAAATTACACCTCGCTGTTTCCAAACACAGCACTGGGAATTCTGAAAGCTCCTTGGATGTCTCCTACCACGGCAGCAGGACTAAACGGTGGCAGAGAGAGCAAGCAGCCCGAGGAGCCAATCAGTCACCAGCCGGCTGCTGAGTATCTGCCCGAGCTGTCATGCTCTAAGTTCATCCTTCAACCAAGAAATCCTCCTGTATCACACAGTGGAGTCACAGCTTTACCTCCCCCCTCCCGCCAAAGTAAGACCTATCTAACAATGCAATAACACAAAGCAAGGTTTCACACTTTTTTTCTGGAGTGTGTCCTTTCTCTGCCAAAGTTCTGCAGGGCAGGGCAGGGCATATGGGAACAGAAGAGTGATTTTAAAGAGAATTTTGCTTTAACCTCTTACCAAACCTACTAGGCACTGTATTAGGCACTGCCAAGCTAAATTCCACAGTGCCAATACCCTCCAGCTGGGGGTCCAGCCCCATTTCTGTATGCAGGATTAAACAAGTACCTACTTTGGAAGGAAATATTTGATAGGCACAGATGAGTGTACCTCTTCTTTTCAGCTCTGTGGTCAGTATGTTTAGCCAAAGTAGAAGCACAGGTAATAGCTGCTATACCACAAGTCTCAGCACAAGGAGAAATGAAGGGTTGTCCCTTGGTTATTACCCTGCCGAACATCACACCTAGCTATAATAGCTACTCTATATGAAGGAGTAAACACAAAACCAAATTGCTCATCCGGGCTCATTTCTTTCCAGCCCTTCTGAAACAACAACAAAGAATGTACCCACTCCAGGGACAAGGATAGGACAGACTCGCACAGCTAGCTACCAGTGAAGATACTGTCCCAGATAAACAAAAGTTAATTTAAGCTACGGCCACCCTTCTGTCAAGCTTGCTACAGTTCTACCATCACTTCCTTAACCGACATGCCGGAGTTTTAAGAATTTAGGAAGTCAGGAATACAGCAAGCTCACGAAAAGAATAAAGCAATTTCATAACCAAAGGGAAAACAAAAAGAAATAATTAAACACATTTCCAGGAATTTGTTGGGTTTTTTTTTTCCCCTCTACTTTTTTTAAAGCTATTTATTGGACAACCGAGGCACTTTAATCTCTGAGCCAGAGGCAATGAATGGTCCTGGCAAACAGCAGTCTAGAAATTGGCACAGAGAACTACCCCACAGTTTAAATATGCTTATTCAGATGCTGTTCAAATTGTGTGAAAATTTAACTGTTTGCGAATTGGTTCAGAACCAGTTTCAGGGGTAGGCTGGCTACGATTTCCAGTGAAAATATTACATGACAGATGACCAGCTCACAGTTTTTTAAAAGAGCTATTATGGTCCCATCTTAAAAGCCAGGAGGCAGCATTTGTTGTTGTTGGGGGGGGGGTGTGTGTGTCAAAGAATGGAAGCCAGGGTGAGCACACACTTTCCAAAGCGCTGTGATTTAGCTTGCCTGACTCCAACCTTCCCCAGAGCGTTGCTGCTTACCTCTTTGCAGTTAGATGCGTATTTGAAAGTCAAGTTCCTTGGCAAGGAAGCCTCTGCCTGAGTTAAGGTGCCTCCGTCGGCACTGGGATCCAACGGGTGATCGTTTACAATGTATGTGCACTTCTCTTCAAAATCGGCTTCCGTCCACAGAGTCATGTCAGCATCCTCCATGTCCATTTTCATTGTCCACTCTCTCCCTTTCACCAGATTCTTGAAACTCACAGCGTCCGAGCTACACTGTGTAGCAGCCTGGAAAATAAGAAAACAGCCTTTAATCCTCATTGTCCTTCAGTGTTGTGGTTTCCGTTGAGACAGCGTGACTAATACAGTAGTCTGTGACACTTTAAAAGCGTATGCAGGATAGTTGGTACAGTTGAGTAATAGCCAAAAAGCAGTGTAAACGAAGCTGCTCTGACTGAAGCAGCGCCTTAAAATGCCTGCCTCGGTAATAATGAGGAGGGAACAAAAACAAAGAGGAAAAAATCCCTAGGCTGACAACCGCTTTACCTTTTTCAGACCCTTTCCTTAACGCCTCGGAGAGAAAAAAAATATTCTATGCTGAAGAAAATGTGGGGTCATGGCCGCGAGACCACTTAGTTGCCTGTGGAAAAGCTGCCTCAGAAAAGTGTCACAAACAAGGAGAGGAAGAGGAAAGGAGCTGCTGTCTGCGTCTGAATGAAGCTAAAAATGGAAAGCGCATGTTGGAAGAGCGGAACCCAGCCTTGCCTCTTCCAAATGGGGAAGCCTGAACTTTCCCACCGGCTTTCAACACACAAACAACTTTCAAAACAACCTGGCCCCCCCGCCTCCTCCTGACGTCCCCTTATCCTTTGGCATGGAAGGCTAAGAAAGCCGACATCCTGCCAGCATCACTGCAGCAGCAGCAGCAGCAGCAGCCCTTCACAAAGCACTGCAACACGTTCTCGGGGGCCAAAAAAGAAAAGGCGCAGGGGAAATAAATAAATAAATAATAATAAAAAAGTTTTCCTATCCCTTCTGATGTTGATGGTACCTCCGAGAGTTACTGTCTCAAAGCACTGGATAGGAGCCTCGCAGGACAATTCCACCAAGTCCTTCAGCCCCTCTATCTATTCAGGGCAGAAGCACTGTTATCAAACCTTTTCCCACACAGGTACTACTAGGTCGGGCTCTTCCCATAAGGTTCATTAGGGACCAAAATCTGTGCCTACGCCGGTAGATGGGAATGACGTTCAAGCCCGGCGTAAAATCCCTTCATTTTTCCATTTCGGATACGCAGCTACCATGAAATTCACACCCCTCCTCCGGGAAAAGCGAAACGCGAAGACTGAAAGAGCACGATCCTCCGAGGAAGAGGTTAAGGGCTGACCGACTCCGGGTTAAGAGGAGACCCCCGGCGCCCCCCCCGGCACCGCCCCGCCCGCGCCGGG